TCGTCCGATTTAAGGAAAATGGTGTACCAAAGTCCATATATATCTTTCGATTTGCGCGAAATTTGGCACAGTGTAATGAATAAGGTCAAGAATGATGTGTGTTACGTTTCGTGAAAATCGGTTCAGATTTAGATATTGATTCCATATATATCTTCGATCGATTTAAGGTAAATGGTGAACCAAAGTCCCTACATATCTTTCGATTTGCACGATTGCGTACTGAATTAAGTCTAGAACGATGTGTGTTAAATTTCGTGAAAATCGGTTCAAATTTAAATATAGCTTCTATATATATCTTCGTCCGATTTTAGGTAAATAGAGCAACAAAGTCCCTCTACATCTTTCGATTTGCACGAAATTTAGTATAGCGTTTTGAATGAAGTCTAGAACGATGTGTGTTAAATTTCGTAGTAATCGGTTTAGATTGAGATATAGCTCCCATATATATTTTCGTCCGATTTAAGGTAAATGGAGTACCAAAGTCCCTATATATTTCGATTTGCACGAAATTTGGCATAGCGTTGTGAATGAAGTCTAGAACGATGTGTGTTAAATTTCGTAGTAATCGGTTCAGATTTAGATATAGCTTCCACATATATATTTTCGTCTTATATTTATATATATATATATAGATAAATATTGCACCAAAGTTCCTTTATATGCTTCGATTTGCACGAAATTTGAAACAGCGTACTGAATTATGTCTAGAATGATGTGTGAAAAGTTTCGTGAAAATCGGTTCAGATTTAGATATAGCTCCCATATATATCTTCGTCCGATTTTAGGTAAATAGTGCAATAAAGTCCCTATATATCCTTCAATTTGCACGAAAAATGGCATAGCGTACTGAACTAAGTCCAAAACGATGTGCGTTAAAATCGGTTTAGATTTAGATATGGCTCCCATATATATTTTCGTACGATTTAAGGTAAATGGTGTACCAATGTCTCTATATACCTTTCGATTTGTACGAAATTTGGCATAGCATACTGAATTAAGTCTAGAACGGGAAAATCTGTTCAAATTTCGATATACCTCCCTCATATATTCGTAAAATTTTACATAAATGGTGCACCAAACTCCTAATGTTTGTCCGATTAACCCGAAATTTTGCACAACGTATCAAATTGAAAATTGCATGACTTTATTACGTTTTGTTAAAATTGGTGCAGATGCAGCCATAGCCTCCATATGTATGTCGAACGAGTGTCTGATTGAGATTCATTTTTTAACAGTGCGGCGTACCGAATATGGTATATCATGTTTGCTAAATTTGTCCCATGGTACGCAGACGACTCTAAATCTGCCCGAATGAAAATAAATTTAGGATTGGTTGCAGAAAGACATGAGTATGTTCCTTCGAGGGAACATTGACATGCAATTGTAAGGATACATATCTACAATATAACCAAAGTGGTGAAGGGTATCATATAATCGGCCCAGTCCGACTTTACTACTTTCCTTACTGGTTTGAAATAATTTTTTTTCGTCACCCCCATAAGGCGTGAATTTTTTGAAGAGTAGTTTTTTTCTGAAGGCTCATAAGGAGTGGTAAAATTTATTATATTATTTTAAACGTTTTTGCAGATATCCTAATTTTGAAAGGCAGAAAATTGAAATAATAATTTTTTTGTCGGATTTTCACCATTGTTATTTTCACCATTGTTTATTGGCTTTGTTATTTTCTTAAAAAAACACACACAGGACATCATATTCTTTTTGGTGTCATTACTTCCAATTTACAATTAAAAAATAATATCAAATTACAAGCAAGCAAACAACATTGACTAGGACAAAGAATATTATGTCAATTGAATTATGAAAAGAAAAAATATTTAAAAACAAAATTATGATATAATGAAAAATTTATAATCTTTTGTACTTGGAAATAACAGAAAATTTTAACAATAAGCAATAAAATAAAAAAAAATTACACAAAAATGCTAAACAAGAAAAGAATTGTGAATAATGCAATTAATATAAAAAATTAAATATAAATCTAAAACAAAAATATATATTTATAAACAAAAAATAATAAACGAAAACAAATACTTTGATGACCTCTTTCATACTTTAATAAAAAAAACAAGCAAAAATCCATTTTATAACGAACAATACACAATAAAAATTTGAATATAATAATAAAAAAAACAACAGTAAGAAAAGTAATATTTGCATTCTTGTAGAATGCCTTTAATGAAAAAAGAAGAAAACGAAAACAAATAGATTATTTAAATCTATAGAAAAATGTTAAATTTTTTAACGTAAATAAATAATTAATTATATGAAAATAAAAACATAAATCTGATCGTTTGTTTGTTTTTACTTATTTACATTGAAGGTAAGTAAAATTTAATGGAAAATAGTTTAAAAAAAAATCTAGAGCTCCAATAAAACTGAAAAAAAAATAGTTAAGAAAAATCTGAAAAAAATTAAAAAATCTACGCCTTTAAACGAGTATTAAAAAATCTCCAAAAGAGATTACGTCTGACAGAACATCAACAATATTTTTAAAATATCTACGCCTCTGACATAACACCAAAGATATCTTTTAAAACATCTAATCCTTAACAAGATCATCAAATGATATTTTTAAAACATCTATACCTAAAACCAGTAAGGAAATTAGTAAAGTCGGAGTGGGCCAACTATATGATACCCTTCACCACTTTGGGTATATTCTACATATGTATCCTAGCAGACGTTGCGTGCTTGTTATATATCTATATCTGAACCGATTTCAGAGAAACTTGCCAGATACTGATTTATATTACTTCAGTACGTTGTGTCAATCGGCCTAGCTATGGATCTTTTCACGAAACTTAACAACATCATTCTAGACTTAATTCAGTACCTTATACCAAAATTCGTGCAAATCGAAAAATATATAGGACGAAGGTATATATGAGAGCTATATCTAAATCTGAGACGATTTTCACGAAACTTTGCACACATCATTCTGGACATAATTTAGTACCCTATGCCAAACTTCGTGCACCATTTACATAAAATCGGACGAAAATATATATAGGAGCTATATCGAAATCTGAACCGATTTTCACGAATTTCAACACTCATCGTTCTAGACTTAATTCAGTACGCTATGCCAAATGTCGTGCAAATCGAAAAATATATAGGGACTTTGGTGCACCATTTTCATAAAATCGGACGAAAATATATATGTGAGTTATATGTGTGAGTTATATCTAAATCTGACCCGATTTTGTCTAAACTTAACACACATCATTCTGGGCTCATTTCAGTACGATATGTCAAATTTCTTCATGCTAACCGAAAGATATATAGAGACTTTGGGGCACCAATTACCTAAAATGGGGCGAAAATATACATATATATGGGAGCTTTATCTAAATCTGAACCGATTTTCATGAAACTTAGCACACATCATTCTAGACGCAATTTAGTACGCTTTGCTAAATTTCGTGCAAATCGAAAGATATATAGGGTCTTTGATGCACCAATTACCTTAAATCGGATGAAAATATATATCTAAATCTAAACCTATTTTCACGAAACTTAGCACACATCATTCTAGACTTAATTCAGTACGCTATGCCAAATTTCGTGCAAATCGAAATATATATAGGGACTTTGGTACACCATTTACCTTAAATCGTACAAAGATATATATGGGAGCTATATCTAAATCTAAACCGATTCTTCCCAATTTCAATAGGGTTCGTCCTTGGGCCAAATAAGTGACTTGTGCCAAATTTCATCCAAATCGGATCATAAATGCGACCTGTACTTTGTTCACAAAAATACATGGACGGACGGACATGCTTAAATCGATTCAGAAAGTGATTCTGTGCATATTCCAAAAAGGAACCATGGGTCTATCTCGATTCCTTTTGCCTGTTACAAACATATGCACAAAGACATAATACCCTGTACCACTGTGCGATGAAGGGTATAAAAAAACTACGCCTCCGACAAAACCGGAAAAAATATATAAAAATCTACGCCTCTGAAACAACATGAAAAAAATATTTTTTAAAAGTCTACGCCACTGTTACAACATCAACAAATTGTTTTAAAAAATCTATGCCTTGACAGAATTTAAGAAACTACGCCACTAACAAACAAAATAAAATTAAATTATCAGTAAAATTATAAAATAAAACATTGTTAAATTCCTTATGGTTGAGGGTGCACATAACATTATTCCAGCGGCTTGAGCCTGTTTTGAACTTGATGTCTATACATCATTTGATTTCGCTTTAATTAAAACACACATAACAATAGTTTTCAGAACACTTAATATTTATTTATCACGTCGGTATGTATGTGTACGTATGTTCATCAAATGGCACCTTAGTGGACAACAGCTGACAATTGTAGCTGTTGTTGTTGTTAATATTAATTTAAACTAAAGACTAGTTCGACTTGTTTTTGTTTTGTTACTAAGTGAGATTAGTTCTAAAATTTGCAATTATAACACAAGGCATGCATTTATTTTTTTGTTTATATTCTAAATAAGGTTGTTGTATTTGTTTATAGTTGTGTGGTACATTTGATTATTCACTAATAGTGTATGTGTGCAATTTTACATAGCGTGCGTTTAATTCATATCAGCGGCTGTCTTTCGAATATCAATAATAACACCAATTGTTTGTCGTTTGGATTTTTTTATTTTTAAACTACTGAACAAAAAATTGTGTTTATTTAACTATGCAGGTAGCTTAATGTTCTTCCACTTAATATGATGTAATGTGCTGTTGTTGATTGTACAAAACAACAGGTGATAGACAGGCGTTTCCCTGAAGATTAGATTACTAAGTGTGTATAATTATTAAGGGGGTTTTCTTTACATATTTGTGTTCGTTAAATTTCCTCAGGAAATGTATGATTTTGTCTTTGTTTAAAATATTTTGTACACTTTCCTTATTGGTAAATAAATCAGAAAATAAAACTAAACAATAAAATTGTTCGTTATCTGTCCCTGTGTTTATAGCTTGGCTTCTGGGTACTCTTGATTTTTATGCAGCTCCCACCTGGGGTTCATCTTTTTTTGTCAGATAATTGTAATTGATGAAACGTACACCTTGTATCGATTGTGCTGTGGCATTGGTAACGTGGCAGGCGAACAATAGCATATTGCGAGGTTGAACTTTCCATGCGAAACGCATGAAGCAGCAGGAATATAAAGTAAGAGCTGAAATGGAGAGAATATGAAACAAATATTAATATAAATAATTAAAATAATTTTCAAATAATTATTACGGAATGGACCGTTTAAATCAACTAGGATTTGTAGGATTCAAAGAAATAATATCTGTACACAGATTCATAATTTACGTAAGTACAACATCAAAAAAAATAAAATAATTCCAATACAGTTCTAATATATATGTATTTCTTTTAAGATCTTATTGCAATCGAAAGGTGGATATTATTTTTAGATCGCAAAGGACCAATACATTATCATGAAAGTTTCCAAGACATGATATATCCACAAAATTCTCAAATTTTGGTCATTACAAATCCCTTTTAGCCTACTAAACATTATGAGCAAAGTAATCTGATCCTAGAGGCGCCTGAAATCATCCATGTTTCCAGAATATTTTATTTGATTTCTATTTTTCCATCGATATATCCTGAATGTTTTGTGGAGTTAAAGAAATTATCGACCAACGTCTCGAATTTTGGAATTTTGCGGGTTCTGACAGAAAATGTTGAGTTGTCCAGACCTTACGTATAGCCTCAGACTTAATGCACGGCAATAATATGCCTTAAATAAATATTGGTTTTAGACTTTTATCTTTGTCTTTGGACCCAATCCGTTTCAGACAATTTGGAGTCAATTTACAAATGTCCATCCGTACTTCTGTAATACATCTTCCAAACTTAAATCAAGCCCGAAGATGGTACCCATCCACTCCTTTTAATACCTCCCACACAAAATGGTCAAAATTTATCAATCAAGCCTTTTGGACCCATCCACCAACTCCTTCTGGTTCCTCCGTCACAAAATGGTCAAAATTTTGATGAAAATTCTCATGAACCGACTATCCGAACTAAACTTTGCACAACCCAACATTATATACATATATGACTGATGACCCGTCGGCCTACTCCTTCTTGTACCTAACCCACAGGGTAAAGCGAATTGAATGTCCGATTTGTTCTAAACCTTAAAAATTATAATAAAACCTTGATCGAGTCCGAAGATGGGAACCATCGTTCCACTCTCTTTGGCCAATCAAAATAATATAAACCGCAATTCCGTAGACCTCCGCAAACCATAGGCTGAAGCTATATATCCCCATATGAATTAAGACCATTCAACCGTCCCGATCATAGCTGTGTCAAAACTAATCGTGTCTAAGCAGCTGTTTTCCTATGCTGCTGTGGTTGTTGTTGTTTTTACAGGTTTGCTGTTGATGAAAGTTCTTTCCTGAAAAGTTTAGAGGCAATAGTATTGTAGGTTCGGACGGACAATTGAATAAATGGTGTGTCATGAGGGCTTTGCTGGCAGGAGGGACGCCTGTTTAGGGTTCCGGGGCAATGCGCTCTCGACACGAGTTGAGAACATTGCTGTATCCGGATCTTTGTTGTGCCAGAATTGAACGGGTTTGCCTAGGAAGAAGCCTCTCACTCTCCGAAATTGCAGGAGGATGTTGTTGTAGGACTTTATTGCATCTATAGCTATTTATGGCTTCGGAGATCGCCAGTAGATGCACGGATTTTATCGCGTTCGCTATCGACAATCTGTTGACGTCGATGGAATGACGTCTTCGATTCCATCACGATAGCGCCTGAAGTCCTGGAGGATGTGTCGCGAAGGTTGATCTGCCATCCCTGTGTGATGGTTAGGATAACAAGGCAGATACTATGCCAGCAGGGACTGTCTAGTCAACAACACATTATGTTGCTTGACTCACAGCATCCTGGTCTCCTCATGAAGGTGATCGCCGCTCGTCATCTGGACACAGCCGGTTGCAATTCGGAGTGCATTATGTTGGGTTGTTTGCAAGGATCTCCATTGTGTGCTGCAATGGTGGGTGGTCTGAGTATAGCATTCATACGGCATTGTTCCACAGTCTGGGACTGTTTGATAGGCTTGTTGATCTAGTGGTTCACGCTTCTATTTTTGATCCTTTTCTCACTCTCTACATCATGAATTTATTTTCTCAAGTGCTTGGGATGTGAAAACATGCCTATTAATTGCCGACGATAACACCCATGCAGGTACCGTATCGACAACATTTGATTGTGCCGATGAACGGGCATGATATTCGTCTCCTCATGTATACGGTACACTTGTGTACTTAGTGTGCACTCAGTATCATGGGGTAGTTTGTGGTCTTCATTGGCCATTAAGTTCAGCGGGAACATCATTTCAGTCCTCCATGTTGTGTACTGCATGGATGTTGATATGATATGAGTATTATGAAAATATCCTCAGGTGGAAGGCAGATACATCATGAATTTATTTTCTGAAGTGTATGGGTTGTGAAAACACGTATATAAATTCCCGACGATAACACCCATGCAGGTACCGTATCGACAACATTTGATTGTGTCGATGGACGGACATGCTATTCGTCTCCTCATGTATACGGTACACTGGTGTACTTAGTGTGCGCTCAGTATTATGGGGTAGTTTGTGGTCGGAAGAGTTTTTTATTGGCCATTAAGTTCACCGGGAGCTTCATTTCAGCCGTCCATATGGTGAACAGTGTGGCTGTTGATTTGATATGAGGATTATGAAAATGTCCCCAAATGGAAGAAATTCACAAAGGAATCACATTACGATCTCTATGCCGCCCGGAATCGCATTACGATCTCTATGCCGCCCAGTGGTTGTGGAATTTCAGAATAGATGTTAAACAATTCCGGAGATATGTGATGTGACTGGCTGCAATTAACATTAGTTTACATAGTTATATCCAAATATCGGCAAGTCTCGACAAAATATGATCCCATTTTTATCTTTGTTTAAAATTCAATCACTTCAATCAAAATGGAAATGCATTTCAATAGCAAAATTTGTATATTTTAATCAAATAATGAAACAAAGCCAAACTCCTAACACCGAGGCTGTTGAACTGCACATTATTTATTATTTTTTGTCTTATTACTATTTCGCTACTTATTTATGATTAGTATTATTTAATCATTAGCTGTAAAGATAATCAAAAGAATTATCTTCATTTTATTTACATCGATTCATTGACAACAATTGCTTATTCATTCATTCATTCATTTATGTGAAGCGTGCTATCGATCATCAACAAATAGAGTGAAAAAAAAAACAAAACAAAAACAAATCTCAGAATATAATTGACCAATTAATAACAAAAAACAACAAAAATTAAATGCCATAAACGATAATTGTCAAAAAATTGTTGTTGATTTAATTTATTACTAGGTAAGCGCAAAAACCGTGGACTAGAAAAATTAATCTTTTTTTTTGGTGGCATGAGAATGTATTTGAGAATAGGCGAAAAAATGAGGTGATTAAAAAAAATAAAACTGAATAGTTTTTTATTTACTTTTTTATTTTTGAAAATGATGATAAGATAGACTAGACTCTCTAAATTAAAAAGGAAAAATTTTTGCTAGACTTAAATCTTATCAGTTGGAGGTGCTAATGACTACAGATAATGTAGCGAGGAATAGGCAAATAGTAATTTTAACAGCTGCTAACAGAAAGTTATATGCAAATACAAAAATAAAATAAAATCTTAATCAGGCCAGCATAACGTGAACAATTTAATAAATGCAAATTTTAATTTCAATACTGTGTCTATTATATGGAGATGTTATTAAATTTATTTGAAATGCAAAAAAAAACTTTATTGTAGAGCTGAAGGTTAGTTTATGTCTATTATTTCAGGGTCACTAATTGTTTATATGCTGAGGGCCTCTAGCCTTTTGGACGAGCTGTCTATATCAGACAAATAATCAGAATTATTTGCTGGACCCACTATAAATTAATTATGATATGAATTAATGTCAGCAAAAAAAAAAAAAAAAAGATCAAGAGTACCAAAGGACTGTCCCTTGCTGGGATAGAGTTTTTAGATTATGAAGCTTAATATTTAATAAAAGATTTTGCCCTTTTTATAAAGATTGTGGGATTTAGAAGAGGGATTCGCTGCTAAGGAACCACATAACTAAATCGGCATAGAATTTATCTCTGATCAAGAATATATATATATATATATATATATAATGGGCTCTTGAGGTATTGCAAGTATAATTACAAATTTAATAAGCCATCTATCTTATGGTGAAAGTTATAAAAGGAGTGGTGAAGGGATGCTTATTGAGGTACGCAAATTCATTTTGCGAACATTTTATTCACGACGTATGAATTCCTCATAAGTCTGTCTTTCTTGAGATAATTACTAAGCCAGGGCTTGTTAACATTGGACAATATTGAATCTATTTTGTCAACCAATCCGAATCGAGGAATAAAACTCTAAAATGTTTCGAACCCGGTCTTGGATTCTTCATGATGGTAGCATTGCTAGCTGGAGGTGTTCGTTTATTCCTATTCTGAATTTCGTTGAATATTAACAATTTTTTACGCCAAAGAGGGCTATTTTCAAGACCCATTATATGGGAGGTATACCAAATTTTCGCCCGATCAATCTTGTTTTTCGTCAATTGGTTAATAGACCCAATCAGAATTGAACTGCCAATTTTCATCAAATTTTGTTGAATATAAACAATTTAAAAGCCAAAGAGTTACATTTTCAAGTCCCATTATATAGGAGGTATACCAAATGGTGGTCCGATCTATCCAATTTTTCGACATTTGCTTTATAGTCCTAATTAGAAGTACACTGTCAATGTTCATCAAATTTGGTTGAATATTACGGCTTTCTAGGCCAAAAAGCGAATTTTCAAGATCTATTGTATGGAAGGTATATCAAATTTTGGTCCGATCTCTCTAGTTTTTCGTCTCTTACATTTTAGCCCTAATTAGAAGTTAATCGTAAATGTTCATCGAGTTTGGCTGAATATTAACTATTCTATAGCCAAAAAGAGTGAAATTTTCAAGACCCATTGTATGGGAGGCATACCAAATTTTGGTACGATCTATCCAGTTTTTCGCCACTTGGTGTATATACCTAATTAGAAGTACACTGCCTTTATTCGAATTTGAATGAATATTAACGATTTCTATGCCAAAAGAGTAAAAAAAAATAAGACACGTTATATGGGAGCTATTTTTACGATTTTATATGCCAAAGGAGTGACATTTTCAAAACCCATTGTATGGGAGGTATACCAACTCTTGATCCGATATTTTCGTCACCGAAATACTCAAAAGAGTAAAAATTTCAAGACTTTATATGGGAGCTATACCAAATCTTGGTCCGGTCTATCCATTTTATTGTAACTTGCTTTTTAAGCCAATAATTTCATCCACATGCGATAACCCATTCTATTTTTGGACGCTCTTAATATGAAGCCTTTATATGAAAACCTGCTGAACTTTGGATATCAATTTCTCGTGAAGTACTTATTCCTTCTTCTTCAAGACCACAACCACATCCAAATGGTACCAATATTGTGGCAGTTTATTTTGAACCGAATGGCAAAACAGTGGTTTGGGGGTCATATCTCTCAGCAAGGGTTTACTTTCTCCTATGGACCGATGTCAATACCGGCTACGCAACATAATCTCAGATTATATGAAAAGTTGCCGACCTTTGGAAGTCCATTTCTCATGTCGATGTTGGATTCATTAAGAGATCTGATTATACCTAAATCATACACAATTCCATTCTGCGATATTTTTTTTTTTCTTCATATACCTATACCAGATCGATGCCTTTTCTACCATATGGAAAATCAAGTATTCATTTTTTTTCAAACATTTATCATCTTATCTGTCTGCTACCACTTAATATTGATTAAAATAGCTGCATTGCTAAAATGTGTATAGTTCTGAAAATTAAAATCTATTCCATTCTAGTGATTTTTTATATGTATATAGAAAAAAATCTTACCCAAGGTCATGCGACCAGATATGATTTTAGGATCCTTATTAATATCAGCTAAAGCAGCAATTGGAATACCCCAGTTGGCAACGGGACCCCAGAAATGTGTGCTATATAAAAAAAAAACATTATTAAAAAGTATATTTTTATATCAATAATAATTCAAAATACTTACCTCATCAAATATTCCCTGAATTCCTTGCTCTTGAGATTCTCCACCAACTTTCCAAAGAGACCAGCTGCACGTTTTTGCGACATGATTTAAGTTGTTTGTTTTCTAATCGGTTGCTCCACAAAACAAAAACAAAACTGTATTACAACACACTAAGGTCAGACTTAGAAAATAAACACACTGTGTGTACAATATGGCACTTAGAAAAAAATTGTTGCTGTCGCAGGCAGGAAGGCAGTGAGTGTAGGTAAAGCAAGATTACGTTTGAAAAGTTCCACAACGACGGTTGTCTTCTACTCGATTTTCAAGTTCAAGGGACCAGCAGAGCAGCTCTAGAAAAAAATATGACACGTTTAAAGAAATCTCTTGTTTATTAATGATGTAGCATAATTTTTTAACCACACAATACAACTAAATAGAAACGGAAAATTTCATTTTATATTGAATTGTAAAATGTAAAAAAACGTTATGTAAAAACTGCAATAGAATGAACGTTTTGTATGCACAGCAATCAAGAGGAGCAATGCGTAAATTAAATAAGAGCTCATATATGAATGGTGGTGTTGATAGAGCAAATACGAAAACAAAAAAGCATTTATAGACCAATAATAAAATAAAAATCACAGCAAGCTTTAACTGTAGCATATACACCAACAAAAAAACCAACAACAATATAAATTAGAAATTTACGCGAAAATATTAATGTTAAAACAGACGAATTGCGACGGACAATACGTACTTCGACGAAACCAATCCACAGCAACACAAATATACGACTGCTGAGAGCAGCAGAGGAAAAACACCAATGAAATTTATTGACAATTGCATTGTTGTCACACACAACAAAACGTAAACAGAAAATAGAATAACACATGAATTCGATTACCCGTCAAGAGAAAGTGAATAACCATAATATGGGTTTATTTTTAACTGATTTTTACCGTTATTTAAAAATATTTATTATTTATAATTGAATAAAATAATTAAATGTACTATTTTTACAAATTATTTGTTATAATATGTCATATTTAATGAGTTATGAACGTGTTAATAATTTTTGTTTTCTCCTAAAAATACATCAAGAGAAATAACAGTCATCTCAGCTGTTTGGAAGGTGCTGTCAATCATGTTGTATGCAGAAGCTACGTGCTATGAAAATGTAAGTAGCCACACAAGCAGTGATGCCACTGATTCGTGACTGAAAATCGCCAATTTCACAGGCAGATAAAATGTTTAAAGCCTTTTTATGTATTTCGAAACAATTATTCAATGTGGGCTATATCAGATATAATTATTACAAGGTAGGGTACAGTTACCAACTGATTACAATATTTTCTCAAGCTGGCTTGTTCCATCAAATCAAAATACATATTTTGTGTATGTGTGTGTATTGTTTTGAATACTTTAAATGAAAATGATGTGTTTAACGCCTGGAGGTAATTACTTTGTTATGGATGAAACAAATATTTCATGGTATTCCCTACTGGATTTTGGAAAGAAATCATAACCATTCATTGATTTTTCGCGTTTTTAGTTATGTGTAGAAAAAATGTCAAATAAACATAACCCCTTGTTGTGTATATTTATTTTATATTTGGCAGAAGAAGGCATCAGATACATAATTGCTTTTTTGTTATTGTTGTTGTCCTTCCTTGTATTATTGTACCACATATAAATTAATATTTTTCTTATTGTAGCTTGTTATGAGAAATATAAAAAAATATATTCTAAAATCCATTTATTTAAATATGTTTTTTACAACATTGGTAAGAAGAAATATGTGACTTGCGGAGGAATCAATATCTAAATCATATTGCCAACTCAATTTTGAAAAGAAAATCTCACATTCCATTTTATTATTAGTATAATATAAAAAATAGAGTATGTCAATATTAAAAATAGAGTACGACTCATTGCATTTGTTTTTATTTATTCTGACATTATATGCTAAAACGCAGAGGTGTATTTTTTCTTTGTTGACATAAGATAACCTACCTTATATAATTGTTTCATGGTTTTATGATTTAAAATATAAATTAGTTGCCTAACAAACCAATGACTGCAGCTGAAAAAAAATAAAACTATTTCAAATTTAAAATGAATGTTAAATTTAAAATAATATATGTATAGATTCTTGACCCAATGGAGAGCAATTCCTTTTAAAATTATGAAAATTGTGGCCACATACGTAAACAAATATCACCTGACATTATATAATTTTAATACTAGTCTAAACAGCTAAGATTTTATACCTCGAATTAGAAATCGGGTCAATATAGAAGCATGTAAAAAAGCTTACAGATAAAACTAGTAAAAATAACAACCTTTCTATAGAGGGGTCTTGTACTTGGCAATTCCTTTTTTCGGTATTGTTTGTAAGCAACGTGAAGTTGGCTGCAGAATATTTTTCATTTCATTTTTTCTACCGACAAACAAAAACTAAGGCCTTGTTTAGACTACTAAATCCACTGTATCTCAAATCCAATTCCATTGCGTATACGTCACGTTAATACAGTTCACAAATCCAGTGGATTATATTTGACGTATACGATACGGAATTGACATTGGAGATCGAGTGGATTTCGTTAATCTAAACGTACCTTAACGCTTTGAGCCCCGATTTTTTCCGTGATCATAGAACAATTTTCTGTTCACAGATTTAATGCAACTATCCTAGATATGATATGGACAAAATTTGACATCGCTACATTTTTGCATTCGGGTGATACAGTACATTCTTTCTGAAAAATAAAAGCCCAATATCAAGAAAACCAAATGAAAAATCGACAAACAAATCATTCTAAATTATTCTCTATAATCTCAAAAATAATTCAGATGGCAGAATTCGTACATTTCGAATACGAAGCGATTTAAATAATTTGGACTGTATACTCAAATTAGTACTGTACACGTTTTTGCCCTTTTTCTATATTAAAAAGCTCATAGCGTTACCAAAAATTTGAATTTTATTCTCTTTGATAAATTTTAATTTTTGTGCTGCTGATTTGAAATAATAAGAACAATTATTTTTTGTACGTAATCTTTTAAATTTAAAATAATTATTTTAAATTTAAAAAAAAAATTATTTCATTTTATTAGGTTTTACACATACACATTCATTTTGTCAATTGCCTTTAATTGCCATAAATCACTTCAAATTGTTCTTAATATTTGAACATTTCTTGTGGACTATAAGCGAATTAGGACCATTTAATGGACTATAACTGAATCCTGATATAATACACGTTATGGACTATACACAACGTATGTAAATTTTGAAATATAATTAAACATTGTTAAAAACAAATTAATATATTTATTTAAATCAAATCAATAGCTTAAACAATAACATATTGTTTGTTTTAATTCAAATGCTTTGAAAGCATATTGTAATGAAAAAATAAAGTATGCGATTTCTTTTAAGCTTTTGGAGGATTAAATCAAATGTGAATTGTTCACAATTTTTAAAAGAATTATAGGTTCGTTCCCGTACTTTTTGATAGAAAAGCTAGTAAAAGAGCGAACTATCAAAAATTACTCTCACATAAAAGATTTGCGCAAAAAGTAAAGGAACGAAAAATAGTTAAAACATGAAGAAACGTCAAAATCAAAAATTTCATTTGTTAAGGACAAAAAAGACTACAGAAACCTAATGCACACAAAAAGTTAAACGGCGTCCATTGTTTGTATTTTTATTTGTATAATTTAGAGGACAACATTATGGAATATATGGAAGTAGAGTTTCCGACGACTCCAAGCCCGGAAAGTCTTATATGGCTGGACGCTCCCATAATGATTAGAATGTTTTAGCGAACTAGAACAACAAGATATTGAACAAGGCAAGTTTAGGGGCCCCACTCGGATCATTTTGAATTGATTACCGTAAGTAGCCCTCCTTGTGCTGATTACAGTGATATACATTTCATGTGGGGAAATGCATACTTCCCGAAATATTGGCCTTGAAATTTCGGAACATATTTTGTTTAAAACAATCCTTTTCTATTGCCACCAAGGCAATATGGGTATCATTAAAAGGTATATAACCTTTTAATGATACCCATTGCCAGGTACTTTTTAAGAGAACTTAAGAGTAAGACTTTCACATATGGACAGGCGCATACATGGCTACGCAATATATTCTTCATCTAGTTATATAGCACAAACCATAACATTTAAAATGATAAAATTATACGGCTGATTAAAACAACATACTCTCCGAACTTTCAAGGCCCATATCTCGGGAAGTATGAATTTCTCCCCATAAAATATATATCACTGTAATCAGTTCACAGAGGACTATTTACTGTAAAAATGTCAAAGCGATCCAAGTGGAGCCCCTAAACTTGACATAAGCCCAAGATATTTTGGACCAATGTACACACATTGGTTAGTACGATTAACCAACCCAACCCAAGTCTTCAATCTATAGTATCTTCATCTGAATCTTCTGCCAGCCATTCATCTTCGCTATCCTCCAAAAGAGAAAAAAATCTGTTTGTCAACTTTTAAATTTCTTATTTGTTTTTTTTTTTCAAAAAAATGTGTGTGCGTGTGTCCCTTTTGTTGAAGCGCTAACTTTCATATGCTTTATTTCGGACTGTATATCTCTGGCAATCAAATGTCAAATTCATAATTTACTACATTTACTATTTCGTGCTAGGACAAATTGGTCTTGCAGAAAATAGGAGAAGAGAACGCCATTTTGGTTTTAACTCTCTTAAATTTAACTTCAAATTTTCCTACTTTTCGGTGTAAGGAAACGCTTTTCTAGCAAAAATTGCAAAACCAGTACAATATAGTACTATATTGCAGGTTTGGGAACACAGCTTATGTAATCATAAAACGTTCTTTTTTATGGAATTTACCACAAACCATTCTATCTTTTCAAAAAATTAATTTTGTTCAATTTCGTTATCTGTACAAAATGTTCTTATTATTTCATAGTAAGCTACAACTTCTTTTAAAATAAATTTGGGTTGTTTGCAATGAATACCTTCAACAGTGGATTCCCCATCATGAATATTATTATGACATTCTTCAACCGATTTGTCCGAAACCACATCGTCCAAAATATCTGCAACATTTAATAGCAAATCAGTTTATCATCACAATGCTGATATGCTGAGGAAAACGGCCAGCCACCACCGCATTCTAGCTAGGGATACGTAAATCGACTTATCGACTTTTTGTATTGAAAAGTGTAAAAGTCGAAGTCGACTTTTGGTTTTTGAGAAAATCGCAAAGTCGACTTTTCAATATCGACTTTTGACTTTCTTTGGAAATACTTGGTTTATTAGTCAATGGCAAAAATCGAAAAGTCTAAAAATCGACTTTGTGGTCAGAGACAAAAATCGAAAAGTCTAAAAGTCGACTTTTGCGATAGACTACGTATCCCTAATTCTAGCCACGCATTTCATTAAACCATATATTTTAGATTACACGAATTTGACGCTTTTTTAATTTTAGAACTAATTTTTATTATTTTGTAAACTATTGATTTATCTACTTTGTATTTTGTGCTCAATTGTCCACATTTCAATCCATTTTCTTCATAGTATTTTAATAATTTCAATGTTTGCACCATACTACCATTTTCGCAACTCCTATGAATTTGGCAATTATTGATATTTGCAAAAAATCTAAAACGGCACATACAATAGAACTTTTTAGCGGGTTAACCTACTTTATAAGGATTTATTTGACATATATTCAAAGGAATTGACAATTGAAACCCATTGAATTAACGAAATCCGGATATATGTAGACATACTATAAATGTCATGCCAGTTTAAAATATATAAAAAACAGGGTGGACTATATGAATTTTTGCAATGTTGGATTTGCATGCACAGAAAATGAGGCCTTTAAACGAAAATGGACTATAGAACAAATAATTTGTATGAATTTATAAAAAAATTGTCAATAAATAATAATTTTTTCGCTTACATCCGTCTTTGGCCTTTAAGCGTAATGGACAATAAACGAAAAGTACTGTAGAGTGGTTCCTATTTTAAAATTGCATATAAAATAATTGATTATGGTGCTTTTACACGATATGTATTTTACATATGTGCTGTCACATTTTTACATATAGAAATCGAACACGCCGTGTGAAACATACGAAAAATTCAATGTGTCAAAACGATATGTAATTACATATGTATTTATTTCGAATAGGGCGCGCTCTATTTTCGTATGTAAAGCATAAAGAAATCAGCTGCTTCATTTTTGGCGTCACAAAGCGTTTGAAAGAAAATAAAAAAAATTCACAGAAAAATCAGAAAATTACACAGGAAAATTAAAAAGAAAATACATAAATGGAATTTTCAAACACAAAGGTGAGTGTTTGTGAATATTTAATATTAAATATTATAAATAATATATTCATATTGCAGTTGGATTGGTCGAAAGAAACCATAATGGAGATGGTGAGAATGTGGCAAAAGTATGAGTGCCTCTACAACCCCAAACATAAATATTACCACAACAAACACTCCCGATATGCGGCCTTTAATGAAATAGCAGAAAAACTTAAAGTATTCACCGACGGTATTGGACCAACGGATGTAAAGGTAAGTTATATTTGGAACAAAATTCTGTAAACCTAGTCCGAACATGTGGTCGGTTTTGTAATGCAATTTGTGGCCACATTTCACCAAATAACTGCAGGATATGCAAATGAATGCATGAAAGCAATGGACATGGCTAAATTACCAGTACCGAGGAAGCTTTCTGCAAATGCATCAATGTTTCGTTGTCAGTTGTGGGATGTTCCTTTTGTCGTTCAGCAAATGGTTCATTATCTGTTTGATTTAGTCCGTATATCCAGCCTAGCCATAGCCGGGCAAAAATTGTCCCATTTTTTATGGTCCCTGTTTGCCACTGCTATCAGTTTTGTGCATCATGTTTGCAAATTTGTTTTGCTCTGTGCTGTTCGTTGTATTATACGCAACTTTTGAATATAAATTGGTGATATAATTAATGTCGTTGTATTTTGTATTTTCATACTTTCGAGTGTACAACGTTTATTTTTCTTGGGTTTGGTTTTGTAATGATCGCACTTTTTGCTTATTGGATCAACAAATGTGTATTTATGTGGCACGTTCAAATGAACAAAAATAGTCTATTTTTTACACAAATGACAGCTATTATTTTTAGGAACCACAAAATGATTTGCAACGCGTCAGTTGTTCTTTCCATGATTTTATTTACACAGTACGAGAAGAATCTTTTTATTTCTATTTACATATATGTGATTTCTTAATACAAATATTAAAACGATTTCAACAACGTTTGACATTTTTATACCCTTCACCACACTGTGGTACAGGGTATTATGTCTTTGTCCATATGTTTGTAACAGGCAAAAGGAATCGAGATAGACCCATGGTTCCTTTTGAGAATATGCATAGAATCACTTTCTGAATCGATTTATGCATGCCCGTCCGTCTGTCCATGTTAAATTGTAAACAAAGTACAGATCGCATTTATGATTCGAATTGGATGAAATTTGGCACAGCTCATTTATTTGGCCCAAAGGCGAACCCTATTGAAATTGGAAAAAATCGGTTCAGATTTAGATATAGCTTTGGTCTAATTTTAAGGTAATGGTGCAACAAAGACCAAAAATACCGATTAACACATAAAACACAATTTTGCACAATATACTGAAGTTAGTAGTATAATTTAACGTGTGACCTTTTTTGTCGAAATCGGTTCTGTTTTATATATAGCTTCATATAGATATTTTCATCCGATTTTAAATCAATATTGAACCAAAGACCCAAAATATGGCCGATTTTGAACATCATACTGGAGTTAATATAACCTAACGAGTAACATATATGTTCGACCGACTTCATGTTAATTGGACTTCAAATAATCAATGGGTGTCCGATTGAGACTTGCTTTACATCGATTTACATATTTTTGCAAAAAGGTTGCAAAATGGCATACCTATGATTGATTTAAGTCGGTTCGAAGTTAGATAAAGATTGAGGTTAGTGAAGGGTATCATATAGTCGGCTCCGTCCGACTTTACTACTTTCCTTATTGTTTTTTAAATTAGAACTATGAAAAATATTTTGCAACCCTAAGAAATTAGATTTTGTTATATTGTTAGAATTAAAGTGGAAGATAGTTGGATTTTTTATCAGAATAAAGAAATGTTCAAATAAAATCGAAACAAAAATAAGCTCGAAGTTATGGAACTTATTCTGGTATCTCCCCCATGCAACTAAATTGTCTTTTAGGCTTCGTTTCGATTATTTGAAATATTTAACATTTGGGATTTTTTCTTCCTTTTTTTCCCTCAGAACAAAATGCAGTACTTGAGAGGGCAATATACTCGTGAGCTTTCCAAAGCAAAGGAATTAAAAAGTGGATCAGCGGCAGACGACATTTATGTACCAAATGCCTATTGATACAATGAATTGAGTTTCCTACACGACTACGTTAAAATACGAAGAGGAAAATTCAATTTATTCGTAAGTATTTGTGTTAAAAAAAATAATTATTTACAGTTGTTATACATTTGTTATTATTTCACTTGCAGGAACAAAGTTCGTCGTCGCTTGAGGACACTTGGGACTCGTCTCAACTAATTGAAGTAAATGTTTCCCCTACCAATGCTGCGTCACCACCATGTAAAATTCCTAAAGTGGACAATTCAAGAAGCAGCATGAACAAGGAGGATGCTGTACTTGAAGCAGCTGTGAATGCATTAAATAATTTGGCTTCCACGGAAAATTCGGATGAAAATAAAAATGAAGCTTTTTGCAATTTTATTAAAGCTGAGTTGGGAAACATTAAAAACGAAGCAATACGCGATCAGTTGGTGGAAACAATTACCCTGGCGCTTTTGGAAGGAAATATGGTTTTTTTGGTATTTGTATTAATGTACTATCGTACTCAAGTTGATAAAATTAAGATTTCGGAACTCGAATCATGATATTTGAAAATAGTTTTGGAAATAAGTACTACAAGAGTACGAAATGTAATAAACGGTACCAAAATTACTATAGAGCTAGATTTGTGTTGCGATGAGAATTGGTGTGTTGTGTTGAGACATGGAGGTAATTTTGGAAATACGTACTATAAGATACCAAAAGAACTAAATGGTACTAATATTTTAATTATGGTCAATATATATTGGTGTGTATGTTGATTAGCTTTAGACATGTTTAAATAATTCTCACATCCGCTTACATAGTAGCGGGAATATACTAGTTATTAATAAAAACCATAATTATTGGTTAAAAGTTAAATCGTTTTATTGCATCATGTTGCCAATAAACTGCACCAATTGTATTAAAATATTCGGAAAATGTATCACGTATGTTCCTTCCTTCATCAGCCGTACGATTACTTTGGCACTTTTGAAGATTAGTCATGCAAACCTCACTCCGCCAAGATCCTTGTTGAAAGTTTAATGAGTTGAGGTTTTCCGAATCCAACAACTTGGACTCAATTCCGTCTCTCTTTCTAATAAAATTGTGCAAAGCATACGCAGCCATTGTTATTTTTTCCACCTTCTCTACAGATAAGTCGATATCTCTTTGAAATATTTGGAACTTATTTGCCAAAATTCCAAAAGCATTTTCTGACACTCTTCGTGCCCGGCTTAGCCTATAATTGAAAATCTTATTTGCATTTGCCGACCTTTCTCCGTAAGGTTTCAATATTCTTGATGATAGCCGAAAGGCGTCATCTGCAACAAACACGAAAGGGACTTTCGTATCTGTATTGGGCAAATTTTCATCAGGAGGAAAGTCAAATAAGTTTTTCTTTATAGCTTCATCTAGTAAAGACTCATTGAAAACCGCTGCATCATTTGCTCTTCCGTTGCTTCCAACATTGACGTATATGAAGTTATAATTTGCGTCCACCACTGCCATTAATATTACGCTATGAAATCCTTTATAATTGTAATAGAATGATCCATATTCGGGTTTGCTCTTGATTGCAATATGTTTACCATCTGCAAAAGAGAGAATGATTAAAATGATTTACATATTAATGTCATATTTTATTATAACCTATTGCACCCATACAAAAGGGAAAATTCCATTTCTTTTCAAAATCTTCCGCAATTTTCTTCCATTCATCAGCGTTGCTGGGGACCTTAAATGATATTACTTTGTTCAGTTTTGTAATTTGCATATAAATTTAAAAAAAGTACATACCTTCAAGAACTCATCACTTAGAACTGAATAAATGGCATCTATAGTTTCTGGTATAATTTTCGATATAGCTGATACGGAAATTCGGAATCCATAGGATAGTTGTGAGTATCTTTCTCCTGTGGCCAAAAACCTTAGTGTCAAAAGTAATCTAATAATAATAAGGAAATAATTAAAAATTGTTAAAATGGCTTACATCTATCGTTATCTACCTGGCAGTGCTAGAAATAGCCTCCCGCATTGTAGTATCTTGCTTTGTAATTATTGGAGACACTTTTTCCAACAATTCAGAAAAGGTCGTATATGACATCCTTGTAAAATTTTTAAAGGCTTTTGGGTCTTCTACGCGAAGCTCATCTATGGCCATTGATGAGAACCCTAGTCCAGCGTCTCGTTGAAGCAACCACTTATGACTCCACAAATTCCGATTTTTTTTCAATTTCTTTCTCATATTTCTTTTTTTAATTTTTATTGCATATATAATTGCAATAATGCTACAAACTACTTTTCTTTTATATGTGTTTGTTGCCATTAGTTTTCTCGTTTGGTTAAAAATTTTTAATTTCTCCAGACTTGTTTATTTTAAAAAATGTGACCAACAGCTGATATTGTTTACGATAGGTTATTCCATACGAAAAAACATATGTAGTTTGAACGCAAAAACTGAAAGTCTTCTGTACGCTGCTCATTTTGACACACATAACAAATTACATATGGATGAAAAAAGTGACAGCACATATGTAAAATACATATCGTGTAAAAACACCATTATTAAATTAAAATAGACTGTACTACTAAACCATGTAGTTTCACAACACACAAATTATGTAAACATGTCATCACATATCACCAACAGCAACGGCGTTAAGAAAGAATGTTTGGCACAGTTGTTTGTGCGAAATACCGCCAATTGTTGACATTTTCTATGTTTGTGAGTCGATTGCATTTCGGTCGGGATATCTAATTGGAAATAAAGTGAAAAATTATTGAAATAAATACAAATAAATAACATTAAGTTAAAGTTAATCGTTCGGAGTATATATTTAAAGAAAATATAGTGAAAAAACAAGTGTTATTTACATGAATTGTACCGTAAACAAAATTAAAGTAGAAACATCTTAGCTTGCTGTTGTGTGTTCCTGTGTCTTTGCCAGTTGACAGAATTCAGTAAATCTAATTGGAAAGGAATCACTGAACAATGATAGGTTGTGTGTGTGACAATGAAAATAGAATATGCATGTGAAAGAGGTATTGTGATTAAAATACCATTGAGTGCGGAAGGACAACCTATTTGGTTTATTGTTGGCATTGTGAGTTGGTCGTGTTTTTTTTCGATAGAATTTGAACAGAGTGTCGAAGAAGTGCAAGACTTAATATCATTCAACAATTAAAAATACAATTGTTGCAATGTCATTGGTAATAACAGAAAAGTGTATGAGTGTATTAAGTACATGATTAAGTATGTGGAAAAATCAGCATGAAAGCAAGAATTTTGTGAATAACGGCAGATTTCGAACTACGAACTTATTTCACATTTGGAAAATTAGGTAAGTTTTTAATGTTATGTTTTTTACATGAAAATAGTATTGATTGTAAAATCGACATGTTGACATTTCCCAATCGAATATTCTACAAATTGTCATTTGATTGTTTTTGAAATTTAAGTCACACATTCTACACAAAATTTTTTCAAGGATTGCTAAAGGCTTGAGTTTAAAACATATTTTTTTTTCAAGGAATACAGAAGTTTAGAGCCTTAAAAATATATTTTTGCTAACATTGCAAATTATGAGGATTCGAATATTATTTTTTGTAAATATCGTGCAATGTTATTGCATACATACATACACATAAAATAGGTAAAATAGGTTATAGCTACAGATGAGGGCTTTAAAAACATTTATTCAAGGATTGCGAAAGGGGTGGATATTTTAAATACTTTTTACAAATATTGCAAAAGAAGTGGATTTTTCTAAAAAAATATTTTTGAAGGAGTTAAAAAAAATATTCCTACAGAATATTTTATAAATCTTTTTTTTTTTGAGTTTGTACAATTTATTTCAATATATTTATATAAAATTTATATAATATTTATGTAATAAAAAATATTTATCTCCTTTTATCTGGGTTTACACATACACATTAATTTTGTCAATTCCCTTTACTTTCAAAAATCAATTAACTTATTCTTAAAGATTGAATTAAAATAAAATATACTACCAAACCATGTAGTTCCCACCACACAATTTATGTAAACATGTCATTACATATCACCAATTGCAAAGGCGTTCAGAAAGAATGTTTGGCACAGTTCTTTGTGCGAAATACCGCCAATTGTTGACATTTTTCTGCGTTTGTGAATCGGTTGCATTTCGGTCGGGATTTCCAATTGGAAATAAATTGAATATTAGTGAAATCAAAAACAATTAAAGTGCATTAAGTTAAAGTTGGATGCTCAGTGTATACATGTAAAGAAAATTGAGTGAAAATCAATGTGTTATTTATATGAATAGTGCTGTAAACAAAACTAATGTAGAAACAGAGAGAGTGCATTCCTTCATTGTCATTTGATATGCATAACATCTTGGCCTAACTAAAATTATGGCAGACGGCGTTGAAATAAACAGTTCGGCCCAATGTTTTGTAAGCAAATACCGACATTTCTTGGCTTTTCCCGTGATTTTGATTGTGTTGTTGAAGTTCGGTTGTTTTATTTGTTGTTAAATCATTTATACGTTTTAAAAATACAATAAAAATAGTTTTTTGGATATTGAAGTTATTTGACAAGTAAAAATATGGAAAAAAGGAATCTAACCAGAAAATATAAATGTTTAACATGATTTGTGTCCCAAAAGAAAAGAAGAAGGATTGCGAAAAAAACAATTGCGAACAACGAAAATGTCCATTGGTGTTGTGTGTTTCTGTCTGTTTGCTAGTTGGTAGAATATGGTTAATCCAATTGGAAGGAAATAACGGAAACAATAATAAGTTGTGTGACAAATGCAAAATAATAAAATATTCGGTGAAAGAGATATTGTGATTAAAATGCCATTGAAAACGGTAAGACAATCTCTTTGGTTTATTGTTGACATTGGAAGTAGTAAAGTTAATTTTTTTCGATCGTGAAAAAATAATTTGGAGATTGTCAAAGAAGTGAAAGATTCAAAAATTATAAATAGTTTTTTGAAATGTTTTTGGTAATAACAAAACAGTGCGTGGAATATACTCCTTTTATAAAAAGTTTTCGCCTTAAATAAAACATTGTGTGAATATTATAACTAAAATTAATTAAATAATAAAAAAGAAGTAATAGATAAAATAAAGAAAGAATCGAAAAATATTAAGTTGGCGATAATCATCAACATGTAGAATAAGCAATTCTTTTTAAATGCACTACATTGGGAGAGAGAAATATTAAAAAATTAATTTGTTGTGAATATTGGCTGATTTGAAAATACGACCTCCTTCCACATGTGAAAAATTAGGTAAGTTTTTTATGATATTCTAATTTGAATTATTTTTTGAAATAGTAGCTGTACATATTGTCTGTTCGCGTTTTGCTAATCTACTCAAGATGATTAAAATATTTGGAAATGTCTCTATATTTTCCCAAAATTTTGTTTTTTAGATAGAATGATGTACATTTAATCGATTTTATGCTGTCCGAAAGAAAAACTTAACAATCTATCAAAATTTAAAGAAGTTGAATCGATCAGCAAAATCTTTGCTGTGTGAGATAGACGTATACTGGTCAACCTACCCCTATATTCAGTCGGCACCAGAAGGAGTGGTCCAATGGGTCCCATCTTCGGACTTGATCTAGGCTTGGTGTAGATAATAGGTTGTGCAAAGTTTGTTTCAAATCTGACTTTACATTCGCCTGATATTGGATTTATAAATATTGAAAATGTTGACCATTTGTGAGGAAGGTAACAGAAGGTGTGGACCAATGGATCTAGGCTTGTTAAAGATAATAGGTTGTACAACGTTTGGTTAAGATCGGATAATCCATTCGCGTGCATTGGCATACAATTTTGAAAATTTTATGGCGGTTGTACCAGAAGGAGTGGACCGATATTCCGCTCCATCAAACTTGAACTTAGTTTGAAAGAAATATTAAGATGTTCAAAGTTTCGATGAAATCAGTTACTCCCTTCGAGAGTTATCGTGCGAGTTACATATGCAAATACCTACCAACATGATAAATTCCGAGAACTTATTAATGAAATAACTAAAGACAGACAATAATTAACAAAAATGTCATTTCCGGTACATTGCAACCAGGCCATAAACAATTCTATATAATTTCAATCAGGACATAAACAATTTAAATCAACTACATCAGCATATTTCCAATCAGCTCATAATATTTTTAACGACTTAAACAAAATAACCAAAATTGCAAGTTAATCAATTTTAGTTAAGTAAGTATTATTTTAACGATGTAAATGTTTCATTTGAAAATTAAATAAAGAATAAAGTTAGTCTGATTCTTACACTGAACTTGAACGTTCATTTTTTTAAAACGCTTTGGCTACGGTTGATAATAAAATTTGCGCATCAGCCGGCGAGACAGTGAGTCGGACATTTGTAAATGGACTCCAACGTGTTTGAAACGAATTTGTCCGAAAGAAACTTGGGTCTAAAACCAATATTTCGATGAGGCACATTTTTACCATATCAAAGTGTTAAAGTCCAGAAAAGAAAAAAATATTGTGTGAGCGCCAAATGTTGGAGGTCGACCGAGAAAACTTTCTGACGCGGATGCCCAACAAACATTTGACCTTATGGAGTGGCCCGCACAATCACACGATCTCAAGCCATTTGAGAATTTGTGGTCGATTTTGGAAAAAAAAAGCCTTGGGAAAATACAAGAGAGCTCCTGAAAACATGGATGAACTTTGGCGGCGTGTACAATTCGAATGGGGACAAGTTTCTGAAAATTTTATCCAAAAGGTGTCATAAAAAATAACGTATTTTATTTACTCAGTTTATGATGTTGTTATTGTGATTGAGAAAACAAAATCCTCCGTACAATCAATCACATACCAATTCTCATGACTCTCTTTGTTTTCTTCCTCTCACGAGTGATAACAATTCAAAACAGACACTTAAGTCAGCTGTTAAGCATTTAGAAAACAATCATTCACAATAGTAATAATCTGACAGAGTTTCCCCTTATTGTTATTGACAATTTTTTAAAGCATAACTATAGGCGCTGAATTTATGAACAATGTATTT